CGGTGACCGGGAGGGTGGTGCTGCCCTGGGCAGCGTTTTGTCCTGTCGGGCGCTGGACCCTGCGCATTGCAACCAACCCCACAGCGTCTAGCCACAACAGCGACACGTCCTGGAGTTCGTTCACCTTGAGGGCCACTGCCCAAGCCCCTTTGGTGGTATTGGTGTGGGGCTTCCTGGTTGATGCTGACTCAGTTCTCTGGTCACAGCCCCCATGGAGAGTCTCGTGGTCAGCTGCTTCGGGTGAGAAGGGGCACTTCTGTATGCAGGTGAAAGCTTGGGCTTGGCACGCCTTCTACCCTGTAAGGAAGGCTGAATGTGCTGCCAATTTATGTATTCAAAGATCTTTCCCTTTTTACAAGCTGTATGGTTCCTGTACCCAATTCTTCTCTAGGGTAAAAAGTTGAAGCTAAACAGTTTTTTTTTAAAGTTGTTCAAGTGTCACCACAGTTTTCAGCACAGTCATAGTGAACAGAGGTTCCCTGTCTTCATGTTTAGGGAAATGTTGCCACAGTTTTCAGCACAGTGATAGTGAACAGAGGTTCCCGGGGTCTTTGTGTTTAGGGAAATGTTGCCACAGTTTTCAGCACAGTGATAGTGAACAGAGGTTCCCGGTCTTCATGTTTAGGGGCCACTGTATGTGCTTAAAGAACTCAACGCAGGAGATCGGGTATATGAAAGAAGTTAGTATTAAGTGGGAAGGTATCAGTCGAATGTTAAGGGCTTTCTGTGGGTGATCAAGTAGTTTCTCTGTGGAGCAGGATTTGAGCTGGGCCTTGAAGCCTAGGCAATGAAAGGTAGTTTGGGAAAAGACTGGGGTGCATTTAAAGCAAGAGCGATACCGAATGAAGTCCACTGACAGAACCCAAGAGTTGACCACCCGCTCTTCTAACACCAAGAGTAGAGGATATAAATGGCAACATTATCTAGAGAGGAAAAGGAGACTACTTGGCAGACCCCAGGGACTTCTGGTTAGTCATCAACTCTGTTCTCCTCAAGTGTCAGAAAATGCTGGCTAAGGCACAGTTCAGAAGATGAAGACACTAGAAAGTGCTAAAGTCATTGCTCACCTACTTGCCACATGACGGTGGGTCTCTAAGGATGGGTTTCTCTAAGGATGAGCGCCATTCACTGGAGGTCAGACTGTCACCCCTGTTGGACAATACCCACCCCCCATTGTTTCCCCACAGGCAAATCCCCCTGCTCCCCACAGTCGTCTAAGAAACACGGAACCTTTTGCTTTTAGGGAAAGTGTGGCGATTTGTATCTGAAGGAAGGTTTTCATGAGAGAAGTAAACAGAGGGAAGAGGCTGAAGGAGGTTCAGTACCAGGTTGGAGAGTGATTCCTTCAAAATTTGCTTCCCAAGGTTTGCGTTTTGTGCCACCCTACTTGTGTTCTTTATGCATCTGTCAGAGTTGTACTCATTCCAGGATATTCTTAAGAGCTGTGGGTGAGGGTGAAGTGGACAGGCTGGAGAGAGACTTAGTGCAAAGCTCCCTCTGAGAGAGAAGCTTAAAATGCTTCTGTTGCTCCTCAAAGATCCGAAATAAGTTGCTTGGTTCAGGAACATCTTTGTTCGTTTGACTTTTAGAAGTCATATTTGATACGATTACGTTAAAAGATTTCCCAATTCACCAAATTTGCTATTGTTTTGAATAATTTTAACAATAGTAGATCTAAGTGTTTTGGTCAGTTAATAAGAATCGGTCAAAACTTAAAGACACCATTGACGGTCCGGTGCAGGAGGGTCTGTGGGGCGATGGTGAAGGTGAGGAGTTGGAAATGGACTGGCTCTTTGGCCAAAGTGTCCTTGCTTTTAAATGCGTTGGAATGTCCGATCTCCTCTTTGTCCTCTAAGCCTCAGTTGAGCCTGGTAGGAGTTGCTTCACTTATGTATCTTAGATAGTCATAGGTGAGCTCAAGATACAGGCTGATTTCCAGGGAGTATCTAACTTTTCTTTTTCTTAATTCTTTTGATGTAACCATCACTTTTTGAGAGTGAGAAATATGGCCATGGTATATAAGACATAAAACCCATCCCAACCCAACCCATGGCTGTCCAGTTGATTCTGACTCACAGTGACCCTGTAGGGCATGGAACTGCCCCATAGGGTTTCCAAGGCTGTCACTCTTTACAAAAGGAGACCACCTCACCTTTCTCCTGTGGAACAGCTCGTGGGTTCAAACCACATACCTTTTGGTTAGCAGCCAAATGCTTTAATCACTCTACCACTAACCACAAAACCCAACGCACTGCCATTGAGTCGCTTCCAATTCATAGCGACCCCTCCTTGGGTTTCCAAGGTGATAAATCTTTCTGCAGGAAGTAGATTGACCTGCCTTCCTTCCATGGAGTGGCTGGTGGGTTTGAACCACCAACCTTCTGGTTAGCAGTCAAAGGCCGTAGACACTGTGCCAGCATAGCTCCTTAAACTGCTCACTGACTATTTCAGAGTCTGAACTTCCACTGCGTGAGTCTGAGAGCCTCTCCTCATGCTTCCTCACTTGCTCGGGGCCTGTGCTGAGGCAGTGCTAGGAGCACAGTGGACCCTCCAGCCGTCCCCCCATTTTCTCATGGCTCCCCCAGTCTGGTGCCCTTGTTTTCCAGCTTAGCTCTCACCGTCATCCTTGTGCAACTCCCTTGTGGGTATCTTCAGCTCCCTGCCCTTTCCTGCCCTCTGAAGTCTGCAGCTTGGTCCTGCTAGCACACCTACTCGGGGCTCACCACACTGCCCCACGACCTTGCTGTGTAGCTCTCCAGCAAACTGGCCGGTCGGTCTGTCTGTCAGCAGAAGTGACGGACTGGGTCGTATGGTTTCTTGTCTCACACCTGCCTTCCTCTTCTCAGCTGACTGCCTCCCACTGCTGAGCAGAGCCACTGAGGCTGCAGCCTGGAACCCTGACCCTCTCGTCAGCAAGTCTCAGCCTTCTGCCGTCTGCATGTACCGTTTCCCTCCTTAAAGAAGGCTTGGTGTCTCTCAGCATCCTGTTCACTTCCTCTAATTTCAATTGTTTCTTTTGTGGGCTCTCACCACTGTCTGATCGTTGGTCCCACGAAGCAACAACCATGTGTGTTGGGCTCACTCTCACATCCCCAGCTGGTGTCAGATCACATGACCTGACATAAAAATCAGCGCTCAAGGATTGTCTGGCACAAAGCTAGCAAAACCCTGGTGTTCTGTATGTCAAGGTGGGCTGTGAACTGTGAATTTAGGATTCCAGAAAACCCCTGGCCAGCTATTGTCGTATGTCTTTTGTCCCTATTATAAAATGGAATGCCATTACAGTTGGTGAAATGCCATCAAACAGTTAAACCCTGGGGTTTGAGAAACTAGGAGACTTCTATTTTGATAACGTCATTGAGCTATGATCCGCATGTCATAAAATGCACCCTTTTCAAGTGGGGTTTTTCTTTTACTCCTGGTGATTCTGGTGTCAGGTACGGAACCACTGGCCGACGCAGGTCATAATACTCCCGTGACTGCTGTGTCCTCCGTGTTAGCAGTTGAATAGTCTGTGCTCTTTCATTGTGTCTGTGAGTCAATTGGAGTGAATTTTCATATATGGTGTGAGGGAAGGCCCCAGACTCACTCTTTGACATTTGGACCATCTGGACGTTTTTTGTTGAAAAGACTATTCTTTCCCCATTGAAGCAAATCCCATGAGGTGTTGGGTTGTATGTTAGCAGCCTCAGCACACCTTTGTTTTGTCATTATTGTACCTGTCACACAACGTTAGCCAGTTGAGCTTCTTCCATGTGTACAGCTTGTTGACAGCATTTACAGTAATCAGCTCTGCAGCCCCACCCTTACTCAATGCCGTAGAGTCCCTCTGCCTCTCAGTGACCCTGGAGGACAGAGAGGAACTGCCCCGAAGGGTTGTGTCATCTGTGCAGGAGCAGAGCACCAAGTCTTCTCTCCTGTGGAGCTGCTGCTGGACTCGAACCGCCTACCTTTCAGTTAGCAGCCACTCAGCCATTGTGCCACCAGGGCCTCGTTGTCTGCAAACACGGTGGTTTTAATTTTTTGCCCTCCTCGAAACATCTTCCCTGGATTCTGACTCCAGGTTGGCAGATGCTGTCTTGACACATGCTGACGGCAGTCTAACTGCCCTGGCTTCCCTCCTTGCTTTGAGAAGTCCCTCATCTCTGCAGAGGATCTGTGTGTTTGCGTTTCACGGCTGTTGGGATGTTCTGTCTTGTGTTTTCTGCAGTTTCACTGTGATGTGATTATTTCTCCTGCTTGGAATTTGTTGGGTTTCTTGAATCTGGACTGGTGTCTTGCGTTATTTCTGGACTTTCTTAGCCTTTATCTCTGCCTTTTTCTCTCTTTGTTTCTGCCTAATTCTGATTAAATGCATGTTACAATTTCTCATTTTATGATTTATGGCTCTTACTTTCTTATCTGTATTTTCCATCACCTAATTTTCCTTCCAACATTCTGGCTAATTTGATCCATATGCTACTTCATTGGGACACTTGTCAACTGAAGTCTGTTTCCCCCCCATGGAAATGCCTTAGTTCCATTTGGTTCTCAGCCCAGTGATCTCTGAGTGAGAAAGGTGACCTCCTTCGTTCTCAGAGGGTCAGAGACCTCCTTCTGTGCACTGGACTTCGGGAGGTGGTGGTCCGGCACAGCACCGTGACCAGCCTACTGGTTAGTGGCCGTGAGACCCAGAGCAGCACCGTTGGGTCTTGTGTGCTACCCAGCTGGGGCATCACCCAAACTTACTGACTACCTCCAGGGGGCGTGTTAAAGTCCGGTGGTGTTTACACAGTGGTTGAGGGTCTCAAGGGCTGTGATTGCGTTACTTCTTTTGTCTTTGCTGCTGCTGATGGTGAACCACTTCCTAGGGATTTGGTCTGTTCTCCCCCAGAAGTGTTTGGCAGGTGTGCCAGGAAGAGAATCCATTTATCTTTGTACACGTCTCTATGTTTCTCTACAGAATTTGTTGGTGAGGTGGTTGTACATATCTGAGCTAAATTCCAGCCAATCTGTTTCAGTCCAGCCTTTCCACTTACTTGCATACTGACTGTTTTCCCCTCTTTAATCGTAGCTGTGTTGGAGTGGAGGAGCATCATGCTTTTGACATTGACCTGTATCACTGTCCCAACTGTGCGGTTCTCCATGGCTCCTCTTTGAGTAAGTACTAAAAGCATAAATAAAGATTAAATTTAGAGCTTCACGTGCACATGATGGTGTTTTAACGGTACTCTAATTAGTTGTATTTGTACTCATCAAGAATTAAAGGGACAATGTTACTGAAGATACTTAGAAAGGATTTCTTTGTCTATATTTGTAAGTAAGTTGAAAGATTAAAAATACCATCTTTCTTAATAACCAGGAAAACCCCCAGACAAGTGCGTATTTTCAAAGCGTTCAATTTGAGAAATGGGGTAAAGAATTTTTCTGGTTCTGGAAACCGTTTTTATCACTTCATAAATTTTAAAAAAACAAACAGATCTTTCATTAGTATTATTGGGCCCACTATCCCACTGCCATTAATCCCAACTCACAGCGCCCCTAGAAGACAGAGTAGAACTTCCCTGTAGACTTCCCAAGGCTTTCATCTTTACGAAAGCAGACTGCCACATCTTTCTCCCCTGGAGCATCTGGGGGGTTCAAACTGGCAACCTTTTGGTTAGCAGCCAAATGCCTTAACCACTGCATCACTAGAGCGGTGTGTAGAATAACAATAAGACTTTAATGTACACATAGGCATTTTATTTTTAGGGGAAAATTAGTTACTTGATCAGCTAAAAGTTTACATTTTCTGGGTTTTCTCATCATACTGAGTTCCAAGAATCATGCCTAGTCACCCACTGTCCCTGATACCCTCTCGTGCAGTCCTTGGGAAGGTGCAGGCAAGGGGACAAGGCCTGACCACCCGTTTCACTGCATTCTTCTTCCTGAGAGGGTGTGAGTTGCAAGGGCCTCAGGATCCTCCCAGCAATCGATCCGTGTCACGTGTTGTTGTTGTTGCCTTTGGCGTATGCCTCATTATAATGATAATAAATAGCCCAGAGTGGCACACACGGTTTGCACTGGACGCTGCAGCCTAGAGGTTGGTGGTTCAGACCCACCCAGCAGGACCGCGGAGACAGGTCTGACGAGCTGGTGCCAGGAAGGTGACGGCCCAGAGAACCCTGTGGGCCACTCCACCCCGTAACACGTGGCGGCGTTGACTCGCAGCAACGGGTCGGTTTTTGTTTCAGAAGAATGAGCTGAAGCATTAATTATCGTTGTCCAAATGTGAGACTGGAGAAAACTATTTAAAAGGCTTTGGATTGTGTCACTTATTTCTTTTCTTAAAATTTTAGACGCAAACTGAAGCTCCTGTGCTCACAGAGCTGAAATGCACGCTGGAGCTGGAAGGGGCCTTTGCCCGAGGGTGGCTGATACATCTCGGGGTCTGATGCCGGGAAACTGCCCGCCTTTTGGACTCTGTTTCAAATGCAGCTCTTTCTCTAGCGCTTTTTTTTTTTTTTCCCAATAGAAACTTTATTCTAAGGTTATTGGCAAATAATTTTTTCAAAGACACTTACTAGCAGTTGACTGCCCATCTATTTTGCTAGAAACATTAAAAGCTTTCCTAATTTCCTTACAAGGATTCTGAGCTATAGGAATGTATTAAGATACATCCTTATCAAATACACATGATCTGTTTTGCTAGTTCCATGTATAAAACCTGAGGCTTAGCAAGTTGTTAACGTTGTTGCATGTGTAATTGGCTAGTTTATTGTCGTAAATGTTTTTACAGTGTAGTTTTACCACTAGCACTAAAGTATGTCATATAACTTGAGAGCGCTTTTGATCAAGTGTAATTCTTAGAGGAAGTAAACTGGATTGTTATCTCAAAGGAAACAGAACTAAAATTTGTCAGTTTTAGATTAGAATTTAAGCATAGAATACCCAAGTGAAAGAGTTTGAGTTATGTTTCTGTGAGCTAATGAGGTGATTATATGGGGCGGATAATGGGATGTTTCAGACTCAGCCACCAGTGATGCAGTCTATTTGCAATAGGATTTAATGTTTTAAAAAGCTCGGCCCACTCACTCCATTGATTTTCCAGCGCGTGACAGACCATGACCCACTCTTTGAGACTCACCGCTCAGAGAGGAGCTGGCCTGCTTTCTGATCCTTCTGTGCTTCTCGTCCTTAAACGACTAAGGCCAGCCCTTGGCTGTCTCTGGGCGGAAGTCCAACTCTGAGAGCCCGCGGAGAATGCCCAGGAGTTGGAGTCTGGGTTGTCTTGACTTCAGGCTCACCTCGCCCACCCCGCGCCCTCCGTCCCTAATTTGAGTTCTCTCTTTCCTCTGCTGTTAAGTCTCTCAGTTGCTACCCAGGGTTTCTTGTTTCCCAGGAATCTTTGTTGTAAGCCGTTTAGCCAGCAAGATACCACTTAATCTGGTGGATTTAGACGTTACCCTCCTAGTGGGAATTCCTAACTCTCTTTGAGGGGCAGGTATTGAAAACAACCCCACACTCACACACCTTTTCTTTGCCTGCCAGGCTCAGGCAGACACACCACTGGCCCTCCTTTCCCTGTGACCACGCCTGACACACCCTTCCGGAGGGCTTGGGCTCCTCCCTGTAGACATCCAGCCAGCTGCTGAGGCAGACAGTGTTTCAAATGGGCTGGCCCGATGGGCTGCTGGTGTCTTTCAGCCAGCCTTCCAGAAATCACATGAGTAACAGGCCGCTTATTACTCGCCAGGCACTGCACTGAGTCGGTATGTGCCCTGTGCTGTCTCCCAGCTCAGGCGAGAACGCCAGCGACTTACCGGCACAGGCGCAGGGGACTGGACAGAGCCGCAGGGGGACCCAAGCCGGCGCTCTGGACTGCTGCAGCTCGTCTTGCCGTTTGCAGATTAGAGCCGCGTCGCTCCAGGCCTCCTGTCAAACGAGGCCTTTTCTCCTCCTGATGCCGATGCTTGCTGTCCACGGAGGCCTTGAAGTGGCCGATTCTGTAACACTGGTGGGGCGTGGCGTTGCCACCTCTTTTCTGGACACAGTTTTGGCACACGTTGCAAGAGTCTCCAAAATGTTGACAGTTTCTCTCCCAGATCTCTAGAAGCGTCTCCCGAGGAATTAATCAGAGAAGCAGATTCGTGTATGTGACTATTGATCTCAACAGTGTTTGAAGCAAAACTCAGAATGAGCTAAGCTCGTAAGAATCAACAGACGACAATACTGCATGCACTGACATCGGGAATCGTCGGCTGCCTTAGATTGCCTCTGAATGTGTCCTAAGGGCCGGGCTCACGAGACGGTGCGGAAAGTAGGCGGGGGCAACACTGCGATCCCAGCCGGAAAGGAGATGGGCTGTGCCCGAAACTCGTGGCTTCACGTGAGGGCAGCCGGGCCGGACGCCTCGGGGGCCCTTCTCGTTCATCATTTAGCTTGCGTGTCCTCTGGTTCTTTTCTTTCTTCAAGACCAGAAAAGCTCCATCTGCTTGGTGACGATTCTCCATTTTTCAGTGAACCTTTTAGAAAGTGGGTTTTACTCTCTCACCTTGGGCTCCTTGGCAGTCTTGTCTTGGCCTCTCACATACAGCAAGGCTGGTGTCCAACCCTGTGGAAGATTTTATGTGGCTTTTCCTTGACCATATGCACATCCAATGTATTGTATTATGATGATCTTTCTAAGTGGAAAGATTGAAGTGACTTAGAATTATAGAGGAGCTCTGGTGGCGTAGGGCCTAACGCATTTGACTCCTAACCTGAAGGCTGGCAGTTCAAACCCACCAGCCACTCCTTGGAGGGAAGGTTGGGCAGTCTACTTCTGTAGTGATACCGCCTCGGAACCCCAAGGGGGGGGTCATTAGGAGTCGGATCCAACTCCACGGCAGTGCATTAGAATTATAAGTTGTTCCCCCTGAAGCTTATTATGGAAATGTTCCAACAGACAGGAAAACTTGAAGGAATTTTACAGCAAATACACAGAGCTCGACCTGAAGAAGTCGAGAGTCTGGAAAACACCGCGGCTTTGTCCCTTTCTCTGGTTGTTGTGATAGGCTGTGCTCCCCAGGTTCCTGCAGCATCGGCGGGTTGGTTACCACTGTCGGGTTGCTTGCTGTTGCCTTTGGAGTCTGTAAGCTGTTCCTTAGTGCTGGTCAGCATCCTCCTCCACCGTGTTCTGAGTACCCTCCTCGTTCCCACCGACGTTGGAGACCCACTAACCTGGAAGGACCCTCTCCCACAGGGGGCTCTGCGTTCACAGGCCCACGGAGTGCTGGCCTTGGGGGGACTTCTGGTTTGGGCAGTGCTTTCGCAGGACAGCAAGGATGTGAAAATTCAGGACCAGGATCTGGCCTGGGCTGGGCGCTGGAGGAGTGTTAGGGTCTTTGTTTGGCAGCAGTAGAGCGGCAGCACCCTTTTCAGACTCGTGGTGTTACCCTCTTACCCTCCGTCATGTTCCAGCACGTGGAGCTGGCTTCTCACCACTTCTGGAGGCTCCGGGAGCTAGTCAGCGTGCTCACGCTCGGATACAGGAACCACCCTCTTACCCTCCATCATGTTCCAGCACGTGGAGCTGGCTTCTCACCACTTCTGGAGCCTCCGGGAGCTAGTCAGCGTGCTCACGCTCGGATACAGGAACCACAACGGCATCAGCATATGATGGCACCAGGAGATGGTAGAAGGTGGATGAGAAAGTCAGATGCTGGGTGCTGACTTTCCAGTTTTCGTCACGTGCTCTGAGGAAAAGAGTGCTACCTGTTAACACCTGGGGAAAGGGAATATTCACAAGTTCTGCAGAGTTTTGTCCTATGTAGCTTTTTGTATTCTATTTTTTGAGGCCAGGAGTTGATATATGACAAAATGTTTATGTCGAGAATTGTATATGTTAGTGTAACATGCGGGAGCTCTGGTGGCATAGTGCCTAAGGCATTTGACTGCTAACCAGAAGGCTAGCGGTTCAAACTCATTAGCTGCTCCTTGGAAGGAATACTGGGCAATCGACTTGCATAGAGATACCACCTTGGAAACCCAAGGAGGGGTCGCTGTGAGTCGGATCCGACTTGACGTCAGTGAGAGAGAGACCTATAAACCCACCATCTAGATTCTACCACTAACATTTTAATGTGGGATACTATCCTTCATCAGAAAGCCTGGACTGATGTCACTAGAGACCAGTTGATAGCTGTGTGGGTGCTCCCATGGCTGGTGCACAGATGGACGTGCTGTCCTGCCATCTGCTGTCCTGGTTAGAGATGCGTTTCTACGTTGCAGACATCAGTACAAGTACTTGTCCCCCAGTCCCTGGTCTATGATGGGATCTGTTTCTGAGTGTGTCCTCAAGCCTAAGGAAGTCTTTAAGTTGAAATTGCAGGTAAGTTGAAACAGCTGCACGGTTCTGATTCAGCCTGACTTGAGTCAGGAAAAGGCTTCTCCATGGTTTAAAAGCTGCCCATGCAGCAGGTGTGGGCAATTGTGATGAAGTATTTGCTGTAAGTAGGAGTTGGTTCAGTCTTTCCAAAGTGAGAGCAAATTGACATCACATTACAGGACAAGTAGCTGTCCCTAAGTAGGCCATTGGTAACCCAGGGACTGTTCGTACCTACAGTCGCCGCATTGCAAAGCATGCAGTGTACTCTCTTGGCCTGGACACGCATGCATCGCCAACTTGTTTCCTGTTGAAGCTACGATTGCCCCTTGTGACCGTGCGGAGTGCACAGTGTCAGCCGTCACCTCTTTCTCTGTCTTCTCACCACCCAGTGAAGGAGAGGAGGAACTGGCACCGGCATGACTGCACGGAGGTTGATGACGGCTCCAAACCGGTGCAGGCGGGCACCAGGGCATTCGTGACGGAGCTGCGGGCGCGAGTCTTCCCAAGGTACGCCATGAAAGCCCAGCGGGGTGGGAGCGGGTGGTCTCTCAGCAGCGCTTGTCACACGTGGCTCGCGGCCTCCTTGCTGTCTTTTAATGCAATCGAATGCAGCAGGAAAGAATCAGTACATTGTAACTACAGGGTTTGGTAAGCCTGGTTCTGTGGAACTTCTATACTGTATGTGAGATACTGGTTGCCATGGACAATTGATTCTTACTCTGGGTCACAGTCAGTACGTTTGAGATGCACGGGTCTATGGCACTGTCCCCAGCACTTGGCTCCTGGGATAGGCACCTGTCTGGCTCTGTCCTGCTACCCCAGAACCCCTTCTGTTTTCCTCTCAACGTTGTCTCCACGTCTGTCTGTGTCCAGCACACGGGCCCCCACAGCTGTCACCCAGTCTCTGGTGGTAGCAGTCCGGGCTTTCTCATAAAGGACAGTGAAATGCATCTGCATTGTCTGTGGCTCAGAGACTAAGCTTTGGACCACACGGATTTAGATGCTTTCCCGCTCGCTGCCTGACCTGTGTTCAGAGTGAAGACACTCCTGGCCGGCAGGTTACAGAGGAGCAGAGGTGACGTTTGAATCCCGTCGTGCAGCTGAGGTCGGGATTGCCCCGCTAGGTCTCCACTGTGATGGGGTTCTTGTCCACCTCCCCTTAATCCTTTCATAGAAAAGCATGAATGGTACATGTCTGTGATTGGCTCCCTGGAACCAGCCGAGAGAAAGCAAGCACATGTGGGATGTAACGTTTCCTTGTGGTTTCTGTGTGTTAAAGGCCCTGTTCCTCTAACAGTTTCAAAAATCATGGGACCATTTGTTCCTTTTCATTGGAAAACACTTGATTGGTTTGGAGCCTGAGGCCAGTGTTTCCAGCCTGTGCCTGTGGGTGGGCGGAGAGGCTGGGAGTCCGGGAAAGTGTACAACTTAGTGTCAGTGTAGGGACGGGTATTTCCCAGGGGGGAGATAGAGCTTCAGTCAGAATGTATTTTCAAGTGGGCTTGTGACTCCAGCGAGGCAGAGACACCAGGCTAGTCCTGTGTGGTTTCCCCCCTCAGTGAGTGTGAAGGAGAGCGGGTATGAGGTGACCACAAATGCCCAGACCCTAATGACCATCAGTTAAAGGTCTTTGGCTTTATTTTGTTTAACCCTATAAGCCTTCACATCATTTAAAGACATAGCAGGGTAACAAAATGGCTAAATCAAACATACTGGATGTGATTAACCCAGAAGTGTACAACATAAAGGGAGGAGTTATTATCCCTGTCCTCCCCATTGTCTCCTGTAACTCTAACAGGATTTACCCTGGACAGAGTGACAGCCCCGCAATGCCCATCAGTGCCAGTGGGTCTGTTCAGCCCCAGGATGTCTAACAAATGCTCCTGTGGAGGTGTCTAGCCCAAGGACAGTTGTCTTCCCAGTTATGAATATTGTCTCTGCATTTTATTTTGAAATTTTTTTTTTTGGGAAAAAAAAAAAAGCCCAGCAAACCCTGAAACCCAACTACCATCTCTTGAGGAGCTCTGGTGGTGGTGCAGTGGTTAAAGCATTTGGCCACCAACCAAAGATTTTTTTGAACCCACATTGGGGGAAAGATGAGGCAGTCCACTTCAGCAAAGACCTATAACCTTGGAGACCCTGTGGGCAGTTCCACTCTGTCCTCTAGGGGCGCTGTGAGTCAGAATCGACTCCAGGCAGTGGATGTGGTTTGGGCTTTGCTTCTGTGAAGATTAATAGCCCTGGAGACCCTGTGGGCAGTTGCACTCTGTCCTCTAGGGGCGCTGTGGGTTGGAATAGACTCCATGGCAGTGGGTTTGGGCTTTGCTTCCATAAAGATTGACAGCCTTGGAGACCCTGTAAGCAATTCCACTCTGTGCTTTAGGGGTGCTGTGAGTTGGAATCAGCTCCATGGCAGTGGCTTTTTTTTTTTTTTTTTTTTTCCATTATTATTTTATAAAGAAAAGGTCATTTTTCAAGCAAAAAAGTAGGAAATGCATGCTCTTAGAACTATGCTTGAATAAGGTGAGTGTTGGGAAAGTTCATTATATGGTTGCTGGTTTTCCCCACTTTGTCTGGACAAGTGAGCTTTTCCCATCCTGGGTGGTGGGCAGTGACCCCAGGTCTCCTAGCCTGAAGTGAGTGTAGGGTGAGGTCCAGCTGCATTGGAGCATGGTGACCAGGGCAGGGCCCAGGCCACAGTCTTCACAACACAGGAAATGTCTAGTCCCATTCCAAGGGAGTGACAGGGGTTGGGGACAGTTATCAGGGCAGGAGACATCCCCCATGCTTGTCGGAAACTTCCTGCTCCAGCAGTGAGAAGGTGCCTCGCGCCATCCACCATCCACGTGTTTAGTGTTTATTTGTTGTCCCAGTGCATGTGCACAGTGGCCCTAGAGTTGTTACTCCATGTTCCTGCAGGGTACAGTGTTACCAACCTGAGCCTTTAGTCTGAGTCTCCACCGATTCCTAGAGCTACCCAAAGACCAAAACCAAACCCACTGCCGGCCGGTCAATTCCTACTCACAGCAACCCCACAGGACAGAGTGCAGCTGCCCCATAGGGTTTCCAAGGCTGTCAGTCTTCACCGAAGCTGACTACCTCATCTTTCTCCTGTGGAGCGGCTGGTGGGTTCCAACCATAAAAAGGAGTTTTGGAAATGTGTTATAAAAAGTGGAAGTAGGTGTGATAGGTTGAGAGTCTGTCATATGTGGTATGATGACATAAATAACACACACACTGGGATCAGGACATGACGTACACGTATCAATAAGGCAGGGTGTGCACAGCCCCACTGCACTGCATTAGTTTTGTGTGAACTTGCCTACAGAGGACGCTTCCCCTGTGTTTCCTCAGTGCCGATGAGGTCATTGTAAAGATGCACGGTGCCCAGCTGACGCAGAGGTACCTGGAGAAGCATGGATTCGACGTCCCCATCATGGTCCCCAAGTTAGAGGACCTCGGGCTCAGGCTCCCCCCGCCTACCTTTTCTGTGGTGGATGTGGAACGCTACGTAGGTACGAACTTGAATCTTCATGCTCTTGGGCAAACACAGTAACAGAAAATAGTGGTCAATGTCCAGTAATGTCAGCAGTTTACTGAAAGGAAGTTCATTTAGTTCACTTTCTTGTTTCTGAGAAAGTGAAACTCGGTATCACCCTTGGAGGAAAATGATTTTTTTCTCAGCAGACCTGCACTTATTAGGAACAGAGTGAAACTTTGTTGGCCTCACCATCTGCTTTGATGGAGTCCGTGAGTGTTTGGGTAGGAAACGCTGTTATTGAGGTGGGGTGTAGATACCAGAAGAAAGGCCGCATCTGGGGACTGGCCCGACTCTAGGCATCTGTAGGTCCCAGTGCACAGCCCTTGGCTGAGCACACCAGCCGCCTTTTCACTGTAATTAATCTTTGGGATCCTGCATTGGTGGCCTTCTGCTACACAGAGGACCAGAACCAAACCCGCTGCCATCTAGTCGATTCCGACTCACAGCACCCCCTAGAGGACAGAGTAGGACTGCCCGCAGGGTTTCCAAGAGTACAGATCTTTACAGGAGCAGACTATATCTTTCTCCCGCGGAGCAGCTGGTGGGTTTGAACCTTTGGGTTCGCAGCTCAGTGCTTTAACCACTTTGCCAGGACACAGAAAAGGAGCAGAACCTCTTAAACCTGCCTTGGTGTTGACGACCTGTTGCCACTGAATGACTTCTAGACTTACTGTGTGATTGTGAGAGCGGGAAAGCTTCAAAACAAGGTGAAACCCTGCCTGTTGCTGCGTTGCTGACCTTTCCTGTCATTTCCTGGTTCTCGTCCTGGTACTGAGAGATGCAGCGACTGCACGTGGCTCTCATTGACATTAGCAGTGCAGAGACGGTTTGAAGCTTAGCTCTCACATCTACCATTTCTCCACATTGTGAGTCCATGATCCTAGGTCAGCTCCTGCCAAAGGGGCAAGGAGGCCACATCTTCTGACCTCCTCTAACCCCACAGGAGGAAGAAAGCATCACCCTCAGTAGCCCAAGGCCTGTCCCTGCGAGGCCAGACATGCTGCCTCCCTCCAGCCCCTTCATCACCCCTGACCCCAGCTGTTCCTCCTGCAGCACCCACCACCTCTCTGCTGGGCTCGATAATTCGCCGCAGTGGCCATACAGAACTCACAGATTATTAGGTTTGTTAGGGAAGCAACAGGCTACAATTCAAGTTCAGGAACACGCTCAGTCTCTCAGCCTGCCATCTCTCAGCTGACAGTCTCTCTCAGTCTCTCTCCCAGCAGTGCGTGTCTCTCGTGTCTTTCAGCCTGACGGTGATAGATTCCTTCTGCCTCGAGGAGGGCTCCTTCTGAGCCTGGCAGAGTGACCAAACCAGTCCCAACATCAGAATTCCATACACCTGAGAGAGAGCGAACTTCCCAGAAAATTATTTCATGCTGCTCCCAACAGAAATACCCCAGGTGGATAACTTTAACAATCAGGAGCGACTCGGCTGCTCACAGCAAAGCCCACCATGGAGTTTAGAAAGTCTTAGGGCTGGAAAAGCCACACTGTGTAATTTACCACACCACAGCTCCCCAGCGGACCTCCTTCAGAGCAGCGACCCTTCATCCAGCCATCTGTACACAACTCTCATGGATGGTGGTGTCCCTTAGGAAATCCAGTCAAACGTCATGACTTCATCTGCAGCAAATTTTGAATATTTGGTAAATCAGGGATGAGTCGAGGGTTTACCCGAAACCTCATGGCACTGTGAAATCAATGGCTAGTGGAACAGAAAGTGTGGCTGTTGTTGCTAGGTGCTGTCGAGTCAGTTCCAGCTCATGCGACCCCATGTACAGCAGAATGAGGTGCTCGCTGCCCGGTCCTGTGCCAGCCTCAATCAGTGCTGTCCTGGAGCCCATATTGTAGCCACTGTGTCAGTCCATCTTGTTAAGGGTCTTCCTGGCTGTTTCTATTCAGGGAAATAAGTATAGGAAAAAAAGGCTTACATTGCCTGCTAGCTGACTTTTTGGTGCACCAAGGCAAGCATCTCCCTCAGTTAGGCACTGGTGACAGGACCGTCGTGCCCCCTAAAGGTCAGACTCAGGAGCCCATTAGGCAGCACTCCCCACCCTGCAAGTCACATGAAAGAGCAGGGAATTTGCTTACTTTCCCCTCGGGTCTGGTGCGCGGTGCTGTAGGGTGAAGCCCACCCGCCCTGTCCTGTCATGCAGAGCTGGTGCTACTTCCCAGGGACAAAGGGCAGTGGGGCAGTGGGACACGTGGAGTGACCACAGCTCAGAGCTCGTTCACAGGCACTGACACAAACGGCCAGGGCCCTGATGGCACAGTGGGTAAAGCACTGGGCTGCTAACTGCAAGGCCAGCGGTCAAACCCAGCAGCTGCTCCATGGGGGAAAGATGAGGCGGTGTGCTCCTGTAAAGACTGACAGCCTTGGAAGCCCTATGTGGCAATTGTGCTCTGTCTTCTAGGGGCACTGTGAGCTGGAATCAGCTTGACAGCACTGGGCTTGGGTTTAGGTTGAATTCAAACCAATTTCTGCTTCCTAATCCCTTTTTGTGGGAGCTCTGGTGGCGTAGTGCCTGAGGCATCTGACTGCTGACCAGAAGGCTGGCGGTTCAAACCCCCCAGCCACTCCTCGGAAGGAAGACTGGGCGATCTACTTCCGCAGAGATACGGCCTCAGAAACCCAAGGAGGGTTGCTGTGAGCCGAATGGACTTGATGGCAGTGAGTGTTCTTTTATTTTAACTTGCTTTTTTCTCTGGAAGCCAAGTAGGAAGGGCAGCACTAGCTGGCTGGCGGACCCTTCGTGTGTGCTTCTGGCTCCCCGCTGACTGGTCAGGTTTTGAGACTGAGACAGTGAGGCTTTTAGGTGTTAGAGAGCAGAGGGGACAAATGAGGGGTTGGGCCCCTGGACGTCCACACGCTCCCCAGGCCCCAGGCCGCATGCTGCATCTATCTGGTCAGCGTGAGCTGCACGCAGGCAGTCATCGCAGGAAGGAAGGCTTATGTACCGTGCGAGGTTCACTGAGGGTGACTCGTGCTGCTGTATTGATTTACTTCTTCTCTGAAAGAAGGCCATTATTTCCAGAGTTCCAGTTGAGCTTAAAGGTTAAGACTGTGGGAAGAGTCTTTGTTTAGGCTGTGTCATTTTATGGGTGGCTTACCGATCGTACCAGAGAGGTTTCTGTGCAGGGCGTCTGTTGCCACAGCCCTTACGCCCAGCAGTAAGACTTGTCTCTCCATCTGCAGGTGGTGACAAAGTGATAGACGTCATTGATGTGGCCAGGCAGGCCGACAGCAAAATGACTCTTCACAATTATGTGAAATACTTCACGAACCCTCCCAGGCCAAAGGTGTTAAACGTCATCAGCCTCGAGTTCTCGGATACGAAGTGAGTACCTTTGGACACGGGCTGTGTAGCATGCCAGGGGGTGGGGTAGTGAAATGTGCTTTAATGATCGGTGTCTTTGGGTAACGTCCGAAGTGGTCCCGGGGTGGCAGCACTGCCAGTTTTGCTTTGGGACACCTTGAGGATGGTTGGAAGTAAGCTGTGTTTTAAACTTAGAGTCTTGGCTTTCATCTGGCCTTGTAGTTTGTGGCAGGTCCAGGCTGAGGCGGGTGATGCTGCTGGCAGTTCTTGCTACAACCACTTGTGAACATGCGTATATCTGTGTTTAAGGATGTCTGCACTGGTGGAAGTCCCAGAGATAGCCAGAAAGCTCTCCTGGGTGGAAAACTACTGGCCAGATGACTCGGTCTTCCCGAAGCCGTTTGTTCAGAAATACTGCTTAATGGGCGTTCAAGACAGCTACACGGATTTCCACATTGACTTTGGTGGCACTTCAGTCTGGTACCATGTCCTCTGGGTAAGGCACTGGTGTTTCTTTGCCGTCTTGTTGACCAGAAATCCTCATGTTTTTCCCCTGGCATATTTCTCTGCTGTAAATGACATTGGTAACCACACCCACTGCCTGGAGTCCTTTCCGACTCTCAGCGCCCCTAGAGGACACAGTGGAACTGCCCCACAGGGTCTCCAAGGCTGTCAGTCTTCACGGAAGCAAAGCCCAAACCACACCCACTGCCATGGAGTCCATTCTGACCCACAGCGCCCCTAGAGGACAGCGTGGAACTGCCCACAGGGTCTCCAAGGCTGTCAGTCTTCACAGAAGCAAAGCCCAAACCACGCCCACTGCCGTGGAGTCCACTCTGACCCACAGCGCCCCTAGAGGACAGAGTGGAACTGCACCACGGGGTCTCCAAGGCTGTCAGTCTTCACAGAAGCAAAGCCCAAACCACACCCACTGCATGGAGTCCATTCTGACCCACAGCGCCCCTAAAGGACAGAGTGGAACTGCCCACAGGGTCTCCAAGGCTGTCAGTCTCGACAAAAGCAGGCTGTCTCATCTTTCTCTCTCAGAGCTGCTGGTGGATTCGAACCGCTGACCTTTTGGTTAGCAGCTGATTGCTTCAGCCACAGTGCCAGAGAGTTCCTGACATTTGCAAAGGCAGACATTTTAAAGTGGGATTTATCACTTTACCTTTAAACATTATGCATTCTGTTTTTGTTTTTTTAATCCTGAGATTTGAATAAATCTATGGTCAGTTGTTTGAGATGAAACAAGAAGTTGAGAACAAGCTGTTGGAATGAAAAGTTTCCTGACTTGCTTCTTCCCACCCAAGCTGCCTCCAAGTCTTTGTACCTTATAGTGTCCTGTGTGGTGGGGAGGGCCCGTCCTTCATTCCGAGCTGGACTCCTTGTTTGGCCTTGTGTTTTTTAAGTTGGTCCTCTCTTACCTTCTTGTCTCATTTTGTTTCCTCTCCTCCCTGGGCAATTAGCAGTCATTCCCTGAGTCAAATACCCGAGAAGGAACGGAGTCACGGTAACAGTTGTCACTGGCCTTGAGGTTGGACTAGGATAGCTGGCTGGCCAAGGCAGGCACACCCATACAAGTCCCACTGCTGCTTCACAACTTACAGTCTCCTCACTTTATCTACAAGTATGCTGTTTAATCCAGCAGCCACCAGCCACACAGGGCTGTTTAAGTAATGAAAGTTAAGGCAAAACCCCAGCCATCTGCCACGATGTCATGTCTGACTCATGGCGGCCCCATGTACATTAGAGTAACATTGTGTTCCATGGGGTTGTCAGTGACGATTTTTCAGAAGCAGATTGCCAGGCCTTTCCTCTGAGGTGCCTCTGCTAGACTCGAACTGCCAACCTCTCATTTAGTAGCCACCCAGGTTCTCTGATTAAAATGAAATGTCATTAAAAGCTCAGTTCCTCGTTAGCGGGAACCACAGGTCTGGTACTCACCTATGTGGCCTGTGGCTGCCAGACTGGATGGCACACATTGAACTGTCTCTCCTGTGACAGAGTGTCCTATTGTCACTCACTGTCAGTGCCACGGAGCTAGATCTTGGTCTGTGTCCCCCACCCCTCCCCTAACAGTGCTCTGGGCTACGTTCGACCTGTGTCCTTGAACCCCTGCCTTTTTCCCCACAAGCAAACGTAGGTCATTTCATGGGAGGCAGCATGTTTATAGATGTTACAGTCACCACAAGCTACAGATCTTCAGAGATAGGCCGAGTTTGCAGAGGTGACTGCTGTGGGCGGCCAGTTGACGTGGACGGATGGCCGCACCTGGAGAACAGCAGAGGCCGGGGCGTTTCTGGTTCTTTCCCTTCCTTTCTCTGCATGGCCTCTCCAGTACTCTGGGGTCGACTGGCTGTCCTACCGGGGAAGGGGGGCTTTGGTGCCTGCAAAGATGCTTGTTCATGGCGATAGCTACCAACTGGGTGTGCGAAACAAACAGGCCATCCTGAGCCTGAAAGACCTGACCGTTACCCAGTTGGATTCAGGTCACCGTGCTGGGCACTGGAGCCCGTCCGCAGCATGGTTTTGCCTTTTTCAAAGTCAGTGTGCTTCCTCCTTGCAGGGCGAGAAGATTTTTTATCTGATAAAGCCGACAGACGAAAACGTGGCCCTCTATGAATCCTGGAGCTCCTCTGTGACCCAGAGTGAGGTGTTCTTTGGAGATAAGGTGGATAAATGCTATAAATGTGTGGTGAAGCAGGGACATACCTTATTTGTTCCCACAGGTAAGGCTTCAGGCCTCTCCGCAACCCTCCACTTCATGTTCCCACCAGCAGGGAGGGTTCCAATTTCTCCACGCTGTCCCTCAAACCATACCCACTGCCGTGGAGTTGATTCTGACTCACAGCGCCCCTAGAGGACAGAGTGGAACTGCACCACAGGGTCTCCAAGGCTGTCAATCTTCACAGAAGCAAAGCCAAAACCACACCCACTGCCGTGGAGTCAATTCTGACCCACAGCGCCCCTAGAGGACAGAGTGGAACTGCCCAATAGGGTTTCCAGGGCTGTCTTTCTTTCCCAGAGTGGCTGGTGGGTTTGAACTGCTGACCATTTGGTTAGTAGCCCAGTGCTTTTGCCACCGTATGATTTTGGTTTGCATTTCCCTAATGAATAATGATACATCTTTTCATGTATCTAATGGCCCTTTGTAGATCTTCTTTGGAGAAATGTCTGTCCATTTCCTTTGCCTGTTCTGTAAATGGATAATCTGCCTTTTCGTTGTTGAGTAGTAAGAGCATTTTATATATTATAGACAACGAGTCCTTTATCAGATGTATGATTTGCACAAATTGTCTCCCATTCTGTGGGTTATCTTCTCACTTTCTTGCTGGTGTCCTAGGACCATAAACCAAAAAACCCCTTGCTGTCAAAGTTGATTCCAACTCACAGAGTAGAAGGAGTAGAAGGGCCCCATGGGGTTTCTAAGGCTGTAATCTTTACTGAAGCAGACCTTTCTCCCATGAAGTTGACTAGTGGCTTTGAACCACCAACCTTTCAGTTAGCAGCCAAGCACTTAACCACTGCACTACCAGGGTTCCTTCACAGGACCATAAAAATGAAAACAACACCCCACTGCCATCAAGCCAGTTCTGCCTCATAGGTCCATAAAAACAAAAAAACCCTCACTGCCATCGAGTCAGTTCTGACTCACAGCAACCCCCGTTGGGTTTCCAAGCCTGTAAATCTTTACAGAAGCACTGCCTCATCTTTCTTCTGTGGAGCGGCTGGTGGGTTTGGCCCAGCGACCTTTTGGTTAGCAGCCAAATGCCTTACCCACTGAGCCACTGAGATCTTTGAAGTCCATGGCCTTCCGTGATTCAGTGCAGGAGAGCATCTCTTTTCCTTGGTGGAGTCTGCTCTCTGTAGGGATGGGGTCTGTGGCTCTTGTTCTGCCAGGGTCCTTGAGTTCAGTCCTGTCAGGCTGACCCTCCAGCTAGTGTGCTCACCAGCCCCGTGTCCTCTCAGGATGTATGCTTTCCTGAGCCAGACCCACATGACTAGTCGGGTCCTTAAAGGGAGTGTGCTTCTAAACTGACAAAAGCCCCAGCAGCCATAGACACCTTGGCGCTGTTGTCTACTTGGATGCAAGCCTGTGTCCTTGGTGCTTGGCACAAACCTGGCACATCACAGGCACCTCATACACGTTTGAATGAGTGGGTCTGGGGCCTGTAGACGCCGCCGCCTTCTCCGGCCCTGGAGTGTGATGCAGCAGGCTGCTGGCGGTTGCGTTTCTTGATTGCTTCCCAGGCGGAGAGCACACTTCTTGGCATCAGTGATGAAAGGTCGCTGACTCTCGTGCTTTTCCTGTTTCAGGGTGGATCCACGCTGTGCTCACTTCTCAGGACTGTATGGCTTTTGGGGGGAACTTTCTGCACAACCTGAACATCGGCATGCAGCTCAGGTTGGTGTCGGCGGGAATCCAGGCGTCTCTGTCCTTTATAAAGCAGGACGTTCTTCACAAGTTCCAGAGGGGGAACGGTGTGACACGCACCAGCAGAGACAGACCCAGGGTGCCCACTAGGCCTAGGAGCTTTGTGCAGAGAATTCTGTTTTAAGATGTTAATGCAAGTTAGCTCTGGAATGGAAAACTGCTTCATTCAGTTGGAGACTAAACAGCTGCCCACGGTTTAAAAATTGTATAAAAATTCCTGCACTGTCCCCTGGCTGTGGTTGCAGCAAGGGAAGAAGGCCAATCCTGTTCAACTTGGGGGTGGCACGTGGCACCCTGTGCCACAGCCCTTGGTCAGAACTGCTACCAGACCTCTTGCCTGCCTTCGCTATGGGCGAAGGGGCCTGCTCTCCCTGGGGATCTGTGTGCCCTGGCAGCCGGACAGGCAGAGAGCCACTCTGTCAGACTGGAGGCCAAGGAGGCCCAGTGAGAGGCCAGCACTCGGGCCTCCCTCAGTGAGGCAGTGGTAGCTGTGCGTCACCTACGGGAAGGAGCCCTGCCAGCTCTGCAGCTGTGAAGTTGTCACCAGAGATAGCAGCTCCTGTGGCCTGAAGTGTGAAGCCTGGGCACATGGCTCTTGTGTCTGTGGACCTGACCTGTCATTGCAAGTTGGGACTGCTGCAGGGCCCCTGTACCAGAGTCACACGGTGGCAGCTGTGAGTCCTGCCTCCTCCCCACCCACGTAGACCAGGGTCGCACGGTCAGCTGTGGGTCCTGCCTCCTCCCCACCCACGTAGACCAGGGTCGCACAGTGGCAGCTGGGGGTCCTGCCTCCTCCCCACCCACCCCCATAGACTAGGGTCGCATGGTGGCAGCTGTGGGTCCTGCCTTGTCCCCACCCACCCAGGTAGACCAGGGTCACATGGTGGCAGCTGTGGGTCCTGCCTCCTCCCTGCCTGAGTAGGCTGCGCCATGTGCACCTTTTGAACTGAAGTGCAGTGGCCACTTGTCCAGCACAGGAAACTGTTCTGAACACACTGTATGTTCAAGTAGAGCCATCATCAGATTCCTTCTTCTGAAACCAGGAGGCCTGCCTAGAGGTTGGTCTCTGTGCGCTGAGTGTCCTGCTAAAGTTCCTGTCAAACTTGCTAAGCCCAGAGCCTGGACAGGGTCACAGGTCAACCTGGTTCGAATGTGGTGTTTCTGGGAGCGGGTGGTCTTTAACTGCCCTTACCTGGCAGGGCCTGCTGCATTGATTTCCCTCAGTTGGTCACCTACACTGAAGTTTGAAATGCATTGATTAAATGTTATTTCTAATTGTGTCCATTTAGGTGTTATGAGATGGAGAAAAGGCTGAAAACACCAGATCTTTTCAAATTCCCTTTCTTTGAAGCCATATGTTGGTTCGTAGCCAAAAACTTACTGGAAACCTTGAAAGGTAATGTACAGTTTGTTGCATGTATGATGCATGGTGTTTGTTGGTTCGCTAACAGCCACCTAACAAAAGGGTGTGCCTGTCGCGCATTTTGTTTTTCTGGACTCAGAGTCATGGAGGCTGTGGTCCATGTGGTTCATCAGTCTTGTGGACCAGTTGTTTCCCTGCATCTTTGATTTTCTTCATTCTTGGCTCTGGATGGGGAGAGACCAATTGTTGCACCTTAGATGGCTGCTTACAAGCTTTTAAGACCCCACTCGCTACTCACCAAAATGGCAGGTGGAAGATTGTCTCTGTGCACTGTGATATGACAGCTGACCCCTCAGGACCGTGCTCCTGAGCCCCCAGGCCCAGTGACTTATTCCCTCAAGGCCTTTGCTGATGCCTGAGATGTTTCATAACTCTGTGCTCTCCATGTTCATGGATATATTAGCAGCACAGAGAAATCATATGTAGAATTAGCCTCCGTCAGACCTGTAGGTACTCATGGGGTCGTCCCATTTCCCTCCCAACCATTCACTGAGTGGCTCTGTGGGCGTCTGCTCGTAGGTTACGGTCATTACTGTCATTACTGCTGTCGCAGGGTGTGTGTGTAACAGCGCTCGCCTTTGCTGCCTTGAACTCCGTGCTCCTGCCCGTGTCGTCTTCTGCCCTGACCACTCTGTGCCGAGCCCCCTCAAGCCCACGCTCTTACAGTCAGATCTCTAACGAGCTGCATCCAAACAACAGAGGTGCTGTCGGGTGACACTCGCTGCTCCCAGTGAGACGCTCCCCAGTGTCTGCCTTGAGGACTTGAGGGAATCGCTGTCTGTTCTGAGAGACTCAGCACACGAAGTTCCATTAGGGACCATGACACTGATAGGAGTAATTCACTTCCTCTGTGCACTCGGATGGGATGGCAGCTCACTTGTCCTGTAATGGAGGAAAATGGCTTCTGAGCATCCTTCACTAGCACTCAGAAAGCTGCTTTTTAAAATGTGGAGCTTGAGGCCTGGGTTCTTGTTTTTCATTTAATAATCTTAGGGCAGTCAGGTTGGAGACGGAATGTCATCTCTCCTTCAATCCCTGTCCTGCTTTCCTTGCCCTTGTACTGGTGACAACACTGCCGTCAGTACGTCTGGCTTGTAGTGCAACATTTGTAATGTTTTAAGCATTTTGGCTGCTAACCAGGAGGTCGGCAGTTCGAACCCACCAGCCACTCCATGGGAGAAAGATGAGGCAGTCTGCATCCGTAAAGATTATGGACACCCTGGGGGAAGTTCCACTCTGTCCTCTAGGGTCACCATGAGTCAGAAGCGACTGATTGGCACTGGGTTTAGTTTGGTGTTGGGCTGTGTGTGGTTTGTATCACCGTGTCTGTGTTGTGTTGTCGGCACAGTTAAGAATGCCACTGTTAGACATAAACAGAGTCTGTCTTTCTTCATTCATAAGTTACACAAGAGAAAGAGTGTGAAAGGCAGAGCAACACAGCACTTTCCTTCAGAGGATGGTGTCCACTTATGGTTTCTTTCCTCAAAAAAGTAAAGATAAAGGGACCCCCTTTCTCTGAGTGGAAGGAAAGTGCAGTTGACCCCAGCCTCACACCATGCAGTGCAGCGTTGAGATGGGTGTGGCAGCAAAGCAGGTGTGGGTGATGAAGGTTGGGTCTCTTGGGTACGGAGAACAGCTCCCTCCTCCACAAGGCCAGTCTCGGTTCCAGAACTGGATCCGCAGTGACTCTGACTTGGGGAATGTGGGCTGCGGACATCACAGGGCACCACACGGTTGCCATATGTCATTTGCAGAGAAAGACGGAAGGTTGTTGTCTTCCTATCCGAGTGCAAGCCTAGGAAAGCAGGAACACGTACAAATACTTAGGAGAACACTATACATGCCTTTGTTTCTGGAAATAAAACCCAGCTCCTGAATCCTCTGGTTAAGAGGTGGGCGGTTCAACACTGGGTTCAGAGCACTTTGTCCATTTTTCTCGCCTTTCGTCCCAGGAGCTCCATGTTCCTATCTTACGGTGGCTAGGAGAAACTGTCCCCTTACACACGTGTGCATGCACACGCGCACGCGCACACACACACGCACACACTCTGAGGAGATGCCCAGGCTTCTTTTCTCCAAGTGTCTAGGATGGGCTCATCAGTCAACTTTTTAGAACAAATTATGAGTTCATCTAAAAGACAGAACCTTGCTGTCACAGCAACAAATTGCTGAGTCCTAAAAATAGCCACATAGTCATTGTTTTGGGCCATCAGGGGTTCAGAAATATTGAGGTCTGGTTGTAAGCATGACCCTATGCTTTAAAGACACTTTTAAAACATTATGAAAAAAACTTAATGTCAAATCTGCAATAGTATTAGTTTATCAGTGAGATCAGTACAAGGTTCCTGACATTAGTTTCAGTCCAATCCCATAAAGACTGGGGTGTTTTAAAGTGCAGTGGCCCGTATACCCATGGTCTCCAGCCTAGCATTCATCTGGGAGACAGGAATGAGGGTCTTGTTAGCTTACATTCAGGTGTTCTTTCATCCCTAAGTTTCTTCCATTATGCCCTCTTATTTGCCAGCTCCCAGACTGTTGTAAGGCTTATATGATGTACGTGTGAAGGCGGACTGTCTAAAACGTAATTGTGTCTCCTGTCAGTGATAGTAAATGGCCCTTTTTGGATCTGGGTGAGTCAGGCAGCCACTGGGCAGAAGTGAAATCTCTGCCTTTTGCTTCAACATGCCTGAATTTTGGACGCATCTAAAATAGTTTTAGATTTTCACAATTCGGTTAAAACACTCCAGAAGACATTTTATTTTCTTCTTAAACCTTTTGTTGGGCTTTTTTTTTGTTGTGAAAATTTACACAGCAGCTTAGTTTTCCCAGTCAGGTCCACCCAGACCGTCCTCTGATGCTGGCCGCAATCCCCACAGTGTGGCAGCACTGTCTCTGTGTCCTCCCCGGGGTCCCAGTCTCTGTTTGTCCGGCTGCCCTAGCCCTCCCTGTCTCCTCCTCCTGGGAGCTGGGCCAGGGCTGCCCCTGTTGGTCCTGTTCTGAGGAGCACACTTGTCACGTTGTTTTACGTCCCATCTGTTACTTGGCCGGAAGGTGACCTCAGGAGTGTCTTCAGTTTAAGTTAGAAGGTTTTCTTATGGCAGAAGTCTTGGGTTCCTTCTGTTTCCCTTTGACCAGTAAGTCTGGTCTTTTTTTCTTTCCCTTGAATTTTGTTCTGCGTTTTTTTTTGCTTTTTGTTTTACCTGTTCTAACTGAGACAAGGAGACATTTTAGACAGTGAGTGTTTGCTTACGTTCATGATGTAGTCATATGCTGATGATGCGTGGGTCACATCACAGACGGCACCCTGTGTACACGCGTGTGGTCTAAAGAATGGGGCAGTCATCATGGAACCACTGCCAAGTTGAGCAGAGTACCCTGCCCGCCTTCCCGCCACACCCTCCTCTGTCCCCTGGAGATGACCACTAGCCGGACCTTCCTGATAAGCTCTCTTCCTTTATTTTCCCCAGTTTTGTCGCCTGTGCTGTCAACGAGTTTAACCTGGTCCAGTTGTGAACTTCCTGGGAAGAGACTGGTGCAGCTGTTCTTTGTGACTGTCTTACGAGCGTCTTGTTTGTGTGGCACTGTAACCTGTCTTCATTTCTGTTCCTGTGATGTTCTGTGGTGTGAATATACGACCATTCAATGCCTGTTCCACAGTTGAGGGCATGTGGAGTGGTTTCCCGCTTGGGGCAGTCATGGGAAATGTTGCTCAGTTCTTGCCTGTGTCGTCTAGTGCTGAGAGTTACTGCAGAGCCAGAGGGAATGTTGGTCACAGGATTTACTAGATGGTGCCACTTGATTCCCACAGAGTGGTGCCACTCGCGGGACCACCAGTGGAGTGTGGGAGGTCACCGGGCCCCGCTAGGGGCAACACTTGTCTGATTTCCACGTTTGCAGATATGATGGGTGTGGAGTCATGTTTCTTCTGCTTTAATGTGCCTTCCTGGCTGTTGATACACTGCACTGAGTGTTTTCCACATGCGTCCTGACCTGGGCGCTTCACTGACATGCCTCTTCAGGTCTTCTGCCGATATTTGGATTTCACCGTTTCTTTTTGTTCTGGTTTAGAGGCCTCTCTCGTGTATTCTGGGTCCTCCTCATTTCTGTGTGTCGGCGCCCTGTCTGAGCAGTTCTTTCCTATCCAAAGGTCAGGCAAATATTCTTAAACTATTCTTAATTCCTAAAAGCTGCCGTAGCTTTGCATTTTGGTCTTTAACTCATTTGGAATTGATTTTTTTGTGGGTGGTGTTAAAAAACCAAAAAACTTGCTATGGCCTGGCCTCTGACTCCTGGTGACCATGCGTGGAGCTGACCCAGGGTCGTCTGGTGACCCTGGGTGTGTCTGAGTGAGCTGACCCAAGGTCGTCTGGCGACCCTGTATTATTATTATTTATTTTTATTGTGACTTGGGTGAAAGTTTACAGAGCAAATTCACTTTCCATACAGCAGTTCACACATATGTTGTCTCATGACATTGACTGCAATTTACCCCAATGCAACAGCTCCCCTCCCACTTCCTCCCCACAGTTACCTCTTCCCAGTGTCCATTGCTCCATGCATTCCTGCCCCGTGAGCTCTCTCCCTGTGCATAAGCAGCCCTTCTTTCTCCCATAATTGTTCTCTCCAAGGAGTATATCTACCGCGGGTAAATGTTCAACTCCTATGCCTGTCTTTTGTTTGGCTGGAAGCCACAGGTGTGGGTTCAATTCCAGACCTGAAGTATCCCTGTATTTTGAGTAGTCCATTTTTTCTCTGTTCCTGGCGACGCAGTTTTGTCCTCCACCGTGTGTGGACATATGTGTGGGCGTGGGATAATGTCCTCCCTCCTCTCCCGTGCTCTGTGAGCCTGTCTGCCACCAGCCACAGCTTCTGTTAGCATCTGCTGAGCCTTGATTTCTGGTGAGCCCTCCCACCTTCTTTCTCTTCCTCCGCAGTGGTTGGTCTTTCTCTGCCTTTTCACTTCCCTAAATATCTTCCAGTTAGTTTATCAGGAGCTCATCTTCCTCTTCCCCTCACGCCCTGCAAATGCAAGCAATCAAATAATAATGATAATAATAAATAAACCTGTTGGACTTTTCACTTGGATCCCCTTGAATCTAGAGATCAGTTCTGTAACATTTTACATCATAATGTCTTCTTTGACATCATTAACCAAAAACAAAACCAAACTCAACTTCCGTCGAGCCAATCCCGACTCATAGCAACCCCTCCTTGGGTTTCCAAGGCAGTATCACTATGGAACTAGATAGATTGCCCAGTTTTCCTTCTAGGAGTGGCTGGTGGGTTTGAACTGCCAGCCTTCTGGTTAGCAGTCAGATGCCTTAGGCACTACGCCACCATGTCCTTCAGAGTTTTAGAATGTGGTTTTCTTTTTTAAAGGTGTGACATGTCTCTCACTAGCTTTATTCACAGCACTTCTAACTTTTTGGTGGTCTTCTAAGTGACATATTCATTGTTACTCGATATGAGCTTATATGATAAAACAGTATATATCACTGTTATATATAAAAACATATGCTCAGTGTTGAACCATATGATATTGCTGTTTTTATAGGTCTGATATTGGCAGCTTCATGTGGTTTGTGCTGGAATATGGACTCAGTACATCTATAAACTGATTCTGTATCCAGCAACTTTGTTCAGAAGTCTTGTTGACTCTTGTAATTTATCTGAGGCTTCTATAAGGTCTCTTACTACAATGACACCCTTCTTGAGTTATGACAGCTTTGTTTCTTTCCAAGCCTTAGATGTTTGATTTGTTGTTCTTGCTCTGCTGGGTTGGCCAGGAGCCCCAGGGCAGTGCTGAATGAAAGTGGTGAAGATGTCTGTTTATGTATGGTATACCTCGTTTCCAGACTCAGAGGGAAAGCCTTTGGCCTTTAACTATTAAATGTGTGTTACAAGCTTTTTATTGAAACTTTGTCAAATTTAAGAAGTTTCATCTATTATAAATTGGCTGACAGGTTGGAATTTTCCTTATTTTTAATACTCATGCGTAGTTGAATTTTATCAAAAGCTTTTCCTGCGTATATTAGATAGTCCTATGTTGGGTTTTTTCCCCCATTTTAATGTTAATTCATTGGTTATAATAATTGATTTTCTGCTGTCAAACCAACCATTGGTCTTGATATATTATTATTTTTATGTACTTGTACTTGGCAGTCAAATGCCTTAGGCATTATGCCACCAGAGCTCCCACTAGTACTTTAGAATAGAAAAATTATTTATATTTCTACGTAAATTTGTATATTATATATTCAGTAGGTACAGATGGGAGCTCTGGTGGTGTAGTGCCTAAGGCATTTGACTGCTAACCAGGAGGCTGGCGGTTCAAACCCACCATCTAGCTCCTCAGAAGGAAGATTGGGCAAGCTACTTACGTAGTGATACTACCTCGGAAACCCAAGGGGAGGGATCACTGTGGGTTGGATCAGACTCCACGGCAGTGTTTTTTTTTTTTTTTTTTTAATGTACAGGTGGAAATATGTTTACATAAATATATTTAGTGCATATTTATATATGATGTAATGTGTTTGTGTGTTTTCTCTCTTTTCTCACTATGTTCATGAGAATGGATGTTCATGAAATTGGCCCATAAGTTTGCTTTCTTGTACTGTCCTCGTTAGGTTTTGATATGAAAGTTATGCTAGCATCAGAAAAAAGGAGATTGGGAATTTTCCTTCTTTTTCTGTTCTGTAGAGAAGTTTGTGTATGCTTGAAATGATTGCCTTCTTGAATCATTAGAACTCACTAATGTGGCCATTTGATGGGTAGTTTTCTTCGGGTGAATATTTTTAATGACTGAGTCAATTTCTTTAATGATGACTAGACTTCAGGTTTCCTAATTTTTATCAAGTCCGTTTTGATAAATTAATTTCTAGCACTGTGTCCATGTGTTTTACTTTGTTGGCATAAAGTTGTCTGTGTTACTCTCTTAACTCCAGTATCTGTAGCATTTGTAGTGATGTCTCTTTTCTCTTTCTTGACATTGGGCACTTGGCCATTTTCTTTTCATCAATTTCATCTTTTTAAAGAACTAGTTTGAGATTTGTTAATCCTGTTTTCTGTTTTGTTAATTTTTGCCCTACTTTTGTTTATTTTTTTTACCCTAATTTTTCTTCTACTTTTTGTTGTCGTTTTGTTTTTTTGACTTCTTAGTGGGTCCTTGACTCACCAATTTTCAGCCTTTGTTCTTCTTTAAGGTAAGCATTTAAGGCTATGTGTTTCTCTCCATTATAGCAGGTCACACATTTTGATGCAGTGTTGTCGTTGTTGCCTAACCAAAATACTTGCCAATTTCTAATATGCTTTTAGTTTGACCTAAACGTTACTGAGGGGTCTATTTCTTGACATCTGTATTTCTTAATTTCCAACATATGTGCTTTTTCTAGGTCTCTTTTGTTTCACCAATTCCCGTGTACTGATTTATAGCTTAATAGTGTTGTGATTAACAAACATACTGTGTATGATTTATGTCTTTGGTCATGTGTGAAGCATGTCTTTGACCCACAGTTACGGGTAGTTTTTTTTTTGTGTGCTTGGAAAGATGTGTATTCTGTTGTTGCTGGTGCAGTATTTTGTTTATGGCCATTGAGTCAAACTTGTTAACTATATTATTCATTTTGAGTATTTGCCACCTGATTCTTTTGTTGGATCCTTTCAGTGTATCATTTATGAAAAGAGGTGTGTGAAAATCTTCCACTGTGATTGTGGGGTTGCTGTGTTTCTCCTGGTAGTTCTGTCTAGCTATTGCTTTTTGTATTTTCAGGTTATGTTACTAGGTGCATACAAATTTTAAGTGGCCATGTTTTTCTGGTGAATTGGAAATTTTATCATTGTAAAATGAGTGACTTCATTAGTGATAGTCTGTTAATAGAATTACACCCCTTTTCTTTTGAAAGCCTCATCTCTTTTCTCCATCTTTTCATTTTAAACTCTTCTGTGTTTTTTATATGTTATATATGTATTTTGAGCTGATTTTTAAATCCAGTGTGACAATCTTTGAATGGGAGCATTTGGTATAGTTAACATTTAATGTCATTTGCTTCTTTATTTTCTTTGCCTGTTGAACTGATTGTTTCATTCATTTCTGTTTTCCTGCTAATTTGGAAGTTACACAGATTAGTCCTCCTCTTTTAGTGGTTAATGAAGATCTGAAGTTAATCCCTTCATTTTCCTCACTCAAAGCTCTAACTCCTCTCCCTACCCCACTTGATTTCTCCAGAACTGAGAGAAGATGGTTTCCAGCCTCAGACGTACTTGGTGCAGGGAGTGAAGGCATTGCTCACTGCTTTAAAGTTGTGGATGAAAAAAGAAGTAAGTCGTTTCCTGGGTGTTTTTTAGTATGGCGGGATTAGGAAAACACAGTCATTGGGCCCTTTTGGCCAGGAAGGTTGGGCAGTCTACTTCCGTAGTGATACCTCCTCGGAAACCCAAGGAGGGGTCGCTATGTGTCGGATCCGACTTGACGGCAGTGAGTTGAGAGTGGCAGTGTGGCAATGTAATAGTGGTCGGAGGGGGTGGAAGTTAGGCTTTCAATATGTTGGGCTCTCTTTAGATCTAGGAGAATAAAGTACGCATTTCTCTGATCTTTAATCTGGAAAAGAAGGCAATTCATGTTATGTAGGATATTGACTAAGACATTGTAGTGTGCTACGCACTATACATTCAGCAACTAACCAAAAGGTTGGCGGTTCATACCCACCAACTGCTCCGTGGAAGAAAGATGAGGTCTGCTTCTGTAGAGACTGACAGCCTTGAAAACCCATTGGGACAGTTCTACTCTGTCCTGCAGGGTCTGCATGACTCGGAATCAACTTGAGGGCAGTGGCTTGTTTCTTTGGTAAGCACTGTGCTGAATCTATGTGCGTAATCTGATTTAATCCTCAGAGCAGCTGTGAGACCTGGGGGCTGTTGTTTCCCTGTTTTATCGATGAGGAAGCTGAGAGTGGAAGGGTTTAAGCAACTTTCCCAAGAGAACTGGTGGAGCTGGGACTTAGACCTGACCTCCGTGGTTGCAAAGCTAGAGTCGTGACCACTCGGCTTGGCTTACATTAAAACGAGGGGCAGGAGGGTTAAGGCTTCAAGCATGAACTTTGATTTCCACTAACAAGGTGTCCAGTTGTTTGCATTTGAATCTAACCACTTTCAAGAGGTCATCCCAGATCTCCATTTGGCATGAATATTTCCTTCCAGAAACAAAACCGAAAACCAAACGCACTGCTGTCAAGTCGGTCCTGACTCACAGTGACCCCTCCTTGGGTTTCCGAGGCAGTATCTCTACGGAAGTAGATCACCCAACCTTCCTTCTGAGGGCTGGCTGGTGGGTTTGAACCGGCAGCCCTCTGGTTAGCAGTCAGATGCCTTAGGCACTGCGCCACCAGGGCTCCTTTCTTTCCAGAAGAGCATCTTTTTGTGCCCATGTAACGAGACTTAAAAGTCCTGTGTGTAAAGTAACGAGTCCATGTATAAGGTTCACAAGCTCCTGCAGGACAGGGGCTGACCTTCTTGTCACCATTTCCCTGGGAGCCTTGCACACAACTCTTTAATAAGTGCTAAGTCTGTGAGCTGAAGAAACACATTTCCTCATTAACTTCTTGAGCGTCCATTTGAAGTCAAAGCCCTGCTCTTGAGAGGGATTGGAAGGCAGGAATGCCAGGTTCTCTTCCCAGTGATTTTCCACTCGTTCATTTGTTAACGTTATGCTGTGGACCCAGTAGTGCACAGCACCGTGGGTGGGTTCAGAAAATGAAAATCACGCGTCCCACTATCAAAGACGTCATCCTCTGAATGAGAAACAAAGACAAACGCATCAAAAATTATACAGCAAAATAAAGACGAAAGGAAAGGCGTGTTGTACAAACTGTAATTCGTTGCCTGCTGAAGGCTTTCGACTAGTGGCTTTCAAACTGTGCCTATGTCAGCATTGCCTTTAGAGTTTTTAGAAAGTGAAGCCTGGCTGCTCCCTAGAGGTTCTCGTACAGTGGATCCAGGAGCTGGACTGCTGTTTATAACACGCTTCGTGGATTTTGGTGCACTTTCCAAAACTTGATAGAGACAGTGAATACTGTTCACGTAAATCCTGTTGCAGTAATTGCTGTGAAGGGCATTTTCAAAGCATGATGTTTATATATTACTGTTGAATCTGTTCCAAAAAGAGAAGCGGTTTAGCATCGTGGATAAGACCTTGGCATCTGAAGTCAGATGTTTGCATTGAAGTCTCAATTTAGCTGCTAACAAACTAGCTTTGTGACCATGGGTGGCTCACTTAACTTGAGTTTCCTCAGTTGTAAGATGGGGATAAGAGGGGTATCTTTGTGACAGTGTTGTTGGAAGGATCAATGAGTTACACTTGTGAAGTACTTAAGACAGTATCTTGTCTGGCAAGTAGTGTTGTTTGTTGTTATTACTTTGTTTTAACAAATTATGCTGGAACCAAGGAAAAAGAGTAAAGTAAAAGGAGTAAAGTCAAAACCAGTATGTTAAGTGGGTCTAAAGAACCGAGATGTTAGACACTAATGTTTGGAAATGGGTGCAGTGAGTGGTGACAGTGGTTAACACTTCACTAGAAGGACAGTGAGTAAGGCCTTCAGCTGCTAACCAAAATGTCAGTGGTTCGAATCCACCAGCACTCTGTACAAGAAACATGAGGTAGTCTGTTTCCCTAAAGATTTACAGCCTCAGAAACCCAGTGGGGGTTGCATGAGGCAGGAGCAACTCAGTGACAGTGAGGTTTGTTGTTGTTGTTGTTGTTGATGGGACCTTATTCCTGTTCTGCCTTTGATTCTGAAAAGAAAAAAAAAAAAAGGCAAAAATCTATTCAAACTACAGTTTCCATGAGTCCTGGTAGATACCATCTTAGTTAACCGATTAAAATTAACAATGCAGTAATGGCATAAATTGAAATCATGGGCCATTGGGTGGGACGCCTTGGGGAGGGCACTGCTGGCCGTTGGGTGGGACGCCTTGGGGAGGGCACTGCTGGCCGTTGGGTGGGACGCCTCGGGTAGGGCACTGCGTCACTTCTATGACATTCCTGCCAAGGATGCGTAACTTGAATCTCATAGAGAAAAACATCACACAGACCCATGAGAAACTAGAGTGATTTCAGGGCCTGTGTTTCCCTTACCAGTCTTTATGTCATGTGAGTTAAACATTAGGCTGTTTAGTTACTATTAGTTACTATTAGTTACTCTACTAATTAGTAGTATTAGCTAGCATTATGGCAAGTTTAAGGTGTAGGTTACAAGATGCTTCACTACTCAATATAAAGCAAAATTCATGTAAGAAAAGTCAATCTACAACCCAGTCTACGAGCTTTGTAAGTTAAGGAGAATCTCCTCAGGGTTTTTATACCAACTACACAAACTCAGAGACCTGGCTGAACAAGCAACACCATGGTATTTAGCTATGTCTGTAAAATCTGGGAGCTCTGGTGGCATGGTGGGTAAAGCACTGGGCAGCAAACCAAAAAGTTAACAGTTCAAACCCACCAGCTGCCCCATGGGAGAGAGATGAGGCAGCCTGTTTCCATAATGATTCACAGCCTTGGAAACCCTGTGGGGTAGTTCTGCTTTGTCCTGTAGGGTCACTGTGAGTCACAATCTACCTGATGACTGTTGTTTTTTTTAAATAAAGTGTAGAGACTCCAAAAATCACTAGTATTAACGTGTAATACCTTGTCTTTCTTACCTTTGTTAACCTACATACAGCTTGTATGTGAACATGCCTTTGAGATCCCAGACAATGTCAGACCTGGCCATCTGGTTAAAGAACTTTCAAAAGTGATCCGGGCAATAGAGGTAAGAGGGGGGACTGCCTTGCCAGGGCTTGGTCTGCTTGGAAAAGCCCAGGGTCCAGTGAACTCCAGCCATTCAGAGATGAGCGCGTGCTCAGTGATGAGAGGAGAACGCGAGGACGAGTGGGCGGAGCTCGCACAGCTGTGCTGGCAGGAGGGGTGGGGCCAGGAGAGCCACGGACTGCGAACAGTAGAGCCACTCGGTTACACGAGTGCTGCTTGTCAGACGCTCGTAAAATCTGTGACAGGTGTAACGACTTTATAATAGGGTGCTGTCCTAGGTATTCAGGAAGAGTCTTCATACTTCGTCATTCTTCAGAACGGTGGTTCTTAGTGGACAGCTTGAGTTGAGGGGACCTTCAGGGGAGGGATGGAGGTGAGCTAACCTATTTCACTGTCTGGATTAGGGCTGTGCTGGGCTGCGGAGAGAGACGTGCGTCTAAGAAATACTGAGGTGCTGAGTTAGTATCCACGGAGGAAATAGTTCATTGTCCACTGTGGTCAGATATTTCCTGTTTTTAAAGATTACTAGTAACTGCGTAGTAATGGATTCAGCATAAGAAGTGATATGTGAGAGTATATAAAATCTTAAGTATGTATATAAATGTATACATATATAAGGTTTATGCATGAAAACAACCAAAACTAAGAATAAACAAACTCGCCAGTGAAGGTGGGGGTCTCATATGCTAAGGAAAGCAGACGACTGCTGGGCAAAGGGGGAGCCTCATTCCCGACAGTGAGCTGACTCCAAACTGACGTTACAGATTTAAAGGGGCAAAGTATACCCGGAAGAGTAATTGGACGAAAATAGCCAAGGAGGTTTTTATTTTTCCTAATGTGAGGGCATGGGGTTCAGAAGGCAGCTAGATAGCCAGGAGAAAAGTGTACAAAGGAAGTTAGTAAACATTTCACAATGGAAATGGCCAATCTGGTAAAAATATGAACACTGTTTGGAATTGTGAAAAAAGTTCACCCGCATTTTGCCCTGTAATATGATTTCATCTAATCAGTTGTCGTATTTTTATCCAGTTAAAGTAAAAGACGATGCCAGGTCTGTAGGAAATGTGGTGGGAATGGGCCTCACTCACGCCCTCTGGTGGGAAGTGTGAACACTTTCTCCTTCTAGACAGCCTACCCTTGACCTCACAGTTCCACTCTAAAGTGACTACGAGGATTCTGATTACACTCAGTGGATTAAACACACCTGCTTACCACTACCACCTCTTGGGTGGAAATGACAGTCAAAGACTAGGGGACAAGGACAACGATGGGGACAAAGCCTCTAGCACAGTGTTGGAAACTGGAAACAGTTGGGCAAGTGGTAGTTGACTCAGCAGACCAGCAAGAATGGAAGCCAGTGTGGGCACTGGGGTGAGACTGGAAGCTGGCTGATTTGTACAGCAGAACCTTCCACGAGCTCAGAGGTGGGGGCACCAGGGCCTCTCAGTATGAGAATGGAGGGGGCATGGAAACAGGATTGATGATGTGCCAACTCATGAAGCAAATCAGTCTGCATGTCCCTCCCCAGCACTTGCAGAGGACGGGATGGTTCCTGTTTGGGAAGTTGAACTGTGGGCTTTGGGACACGGGGTCCAGCTAAGTGGAGACGGGTACCATACTGGACACCAGAATGGATGTATGTTTGCTTGTGTATATTGCTACATGCACACACACGTGTGTGTGTGTGTATGTATACATATACACGTGTATTTATATACATGTATATGTTCATATACATATCAGAAATGAAATGGAACACATAAAGATTGATATCCTCGGCATTAGTGAGCTGAGATGGACTGGTTTTGGCCATTTTGAATCAGACAACCATGTGATCTGTGCCGGGAATGACAGTTTGAAGAGGAATGGCGTGGCATTCATCATCACAAAGGAAGTTTCAAGATCTGTCCTGAAGTACAATGCCGTCAGTGATAGGATAATATCCATACGCCTACAAGGAAGACCCGTTAATACGACTGTTATTCAAATTTATGCACCAACCACCAAAGCCAAAGATGAAATTGAAGATTTTTATCAACTTCTGCAGTCTGAAATTGACCGAACATGCAATCAGAATGTGTTAATTATCACTGGTGACTGGAATGCAAAAGTTGTAAACAAAGAAGAATCAGTTGGAAAATTTGGCCTTGGTGACAGAAATAAT